GGCGACGGCAGTTCCGGGCGAGAGACGCCTGCTGCAAAAGGGAGTGTCAGCAGTTGATCGCGGTAGTGATTGCAAAGCCGGGGACGGCTGTGGTCACTATCAAAGCAAAGGCTAAGCAAAGGGTTTAGGGTCTAGAGTTTAGGGTTTAGTTGTCGCAAGCATGGACCTGCTGCTGCTGATGAGGGTAGTGGATCTTGACAAGTAAATGACGGCGCAGTTTTGTGGACATTGGCTCGGTCTGCATACCCCCTAAACTTATAAACCTCTGTACCGTATACTATACCCTATAGCACCTAAACCCTAAACCCGAAGTGTCCCAGTTGCGAGTGCAGCGTCGCCGCTGAATGCCAATACTTAGCAGCAACCTCATTTGCAACTCCGCAGATCTCAGATCTAGAGTAAGTCGCGTTTCACCGGTCCCGGGGGTGCGATAGCCGTTGTAATCCCAATAAGCCCCAAACCTTAAACTCACCCTAAACCGTGAATCCGCCCTAAACCCAATAGCTCACCCACGCGACCCTTATCCAAACCTTACTTGACCAGTTTCTGAGGAGAACCACATAGTTGATCCGGCTCCTCGCCAGGGCCATAAGGCTTCCTTTTCGGCTTGGGTCTAAAGCTTAGGGCTTATAGGGCTTCGTCATAATATGGTTTCCGAGATGTTGTGGGAAGTTACTGACGAATCTGGGTAGCTAGATCCTCCTACACCCACACCTACAACCTAAACACTATACCCGACCCTCAGGCCCTGAAGCTCTTCTAAACGTTAAGCCCAAAAAGCCTAAAGCCCTGAAGCCCTAGTCCCTAAACCCTAGCACCACTAATCATTTTCTTTCAAGCCCCATTCAACAGGCTGGCTGTTTCTTTGAGCACCTGCATTCTCTGCTGTGCTGCTATGAAGACTGTCTACAGGACGCCTTGCGAGTTCAGGGCTCGCCCGAAACACCGAAGTTTTGGACCATGGTTCAAGAAGGAATTGCGGTAGGATGCTCTCTACTGTATTTTAGGGGCGTGAGGACAAGGATGTTCCTTCACAAGGTGTAGGGCTCGGGCTTCGGGTTTAGCGTTTGCTCTGCGATTCTGGGTTTCCCTAAACCCTAAACCCTAAACCCTAAACCAACACTTTGGGGGTATAGGTTTTGGGGCTTGGGATGGAGGCCTGGGGTGGCGTTCCTGTCTTACGGTTATTGAACGATTTGTAGATACCTTACGCTACCAAAACCTACTTTTTTGTAGGGTCCCTATAAATCCCATATTAGGGTTTATAATAAGAACCTACAAAAAAGTGGGTGATGGCTGGTTAAGGTACATGTGAGGCCTAAGAGCGTTACACAGACTTAAGGCAAGTTTGTCACTAATCCTTAGACATTGAGCTGTGGGGCTTGAGGTTGTAGGGGCGTTGAAAGTCGAATCAGGATCGTCAGCAAAGCGGCAGCACGAGAGCTCGAGCAGACAACGCACAGTATTTTGTGGCTTCAGAACCGTCATTGTCACAACTTCGCCGATTTCACACCAAGCGTGTCTTAGGAGAAGAAAGGCGGCAAGACAGGCAAGCAGCCCACAGCGTTTTGGGAAGCTTACAAGGGGAACGCACCTCCCTGGTCCTCGATGTATGCCACAGCCACGAAAGTGATGTGCGTCGCTGCAAACCTTAGACCCAGACTTTTTAATTGCAAGCCGAATATCTCAAGCCTAAAACCCATACCCTCAATTCTTCACAGCTTTATAAACACCAGGCCGGCATTGACGCTTGAGGTTTTCATTTTCGTTTCAGCACAAAGATGCAGTCCTAAACCTCGGACCCCAGATTCCGGACTTCTGTAGGGCTTATATAGGGGTTTTATGCGTGCTACAGGTCATCTATACGGGTTTTATGCAACTTGCGAGTAGGGTTGTCATGCAGACTATGGGGTTTCATAGGGGGGGGGCTTGAGTTTGTCAGGTTTTTATCTGGTCTTACAGAGCTTCAACCTTAAATCAAAAAATATCAGGATCTAAACAGAGCCCCAGTGAAGACTCAAGGTTTCTTCATCAGGTTCCTATACCATACAATTCTGGAGCAAAGTCCTTGCAGAACTAATTCTACAGCGCCCTCACAAGAGAGCTGCACTAGAACAAAAAAGCGATGAACCGTTTGCAACCCCTTATATGCAAGACCGTTATTTATGGAAAAACATCCATAAACCCTGGAAGAGCTTTTTTAGAAAATTCCTAAACCCACACGAAGACCCGTACAGAAGACCTTTTTCGAGTAAACACATTAAGCCCTAAACCCTAAAACCCTACAGCCCTAAACCCCGA